GTCAGGGCGGTCATTGGTGATAGCTGGGCACCGTCTAGTTATTCTGGTCTAAGGCTGTTGCGGTCTCTGGTTTATGTGGCCCTTTCTGTCTCTTGGGTTAATGCTTTCCTTGTGACTTTGTTGCTCTTCATTCTCCTTTACTCCAGGTGGGTTGGGACCAATTGATGCATCTTAGATGGCTGCTTGGTAGCTTTTAAGACCCGAGATGCCACTTACCAAAGTGGGATGCAGAACATTTTCTTAATAAAATTTTTATGCTGGTTGACCTAGATGTCCCCTGAAACTATGGTCCCCAGACCCCCACCCCTGCTTCTCTGCTCCTCGAAGTGTTTGATTATATTCAGGATACTTGGTAGCTTTGGTGTAGTCCAGTTGTGCTGACTTCCCCTGTAGTGTGTGCTGTCCTCCCCTTCACCTAAGATAATTCTCGTCTAATATCTAGTTAGTGAATAACCCTCTCCCTCCCTCCCCACTGTCGTAACCATCAAAGAATGTTTTCTTCTCCGTTTTAAACTTTTTCTTAAGTTCCTATAATAGTGGTCTTATACAATGTTTGTCGTTTTGTGACTGACTAAATTCACTCAGCATAATGCCTTCCAGATTGCTTCATGTTATGTTTCACAGGTTCATCGTTGTTCTTTATCATTGTATAGTATTCCATTGTGTGAATATACCATAATTTGTTTATCCATTCATCCGTTGATGGGCACCTAGGTTGTTTCCATCTTTTTGCTATTGTGAACAGTGCTGCAGTGAACATGGGTGTGCATGTATCTATTCATGTGATGGCTCTTATTTCTCTAGGATATATTCCAAGGAGTGGGATTGCTGGATCGTATGGTACTTCTGTTTCTAGCTTTTTAAGGAAGCGCCAAATGGATTCCCAAAGTAGTTGTACCATTTTACATTCCCACCAGTGTATAAGTGTTCCAGTCTCTCCACAATCTCTCCAACATTTATTATTTTTTGTTTTTTTGGATTAATACTAGCCTTGCTGGGGTGAGATGGTATCTCATTGTAGTTTTGATTTGCATTTTTCTAATGGCTAATGATCATGAGCATTTCTTTGTGTGTCTGTTAGCCACCTGAATGTCTTCTTAGGTGAACTGTCTGTTCATATCCTTTGCCCATTTTTAAATTGGGTTATTTGTCTTTTTGTTACTGAGGTTTTGCAGTATCTTGTAGATTTTAGCAATTAGATGCTGATTGGATTTGTCATAGCCAAAAATTTTTTCCCAGTCTGTAGGCTGTCTTTTTACTCTTTTGGTGAAGTCTTTTGATGAGTGTAAGTGTTTGATTTTTAGAAGCCCCCAGTTATCTAGTTTCTCTTCTGGTGTTTGTGCATTGTTACTTATGGTTCGTGTTGTGTTTATGCCATGTATTAGGGCTTCTAGCATTGTCCCTATTTTTTCTTCCATGATCGTTATCTTTTTTGATTTTATATTTAGGTCTTTGATCCATTTTGAGTTAGTTTTTGTGCATGGTGTGAGGTATGGATCTTGTTTCAGGTTTTTGCAGATGGATATCCAGTTATAAGCACCATTTGTTAAGGAGACTGTCTTTTCCCTAGTTAATGGACTTTGGGCCTTTGTCAAATATCAGCTGCTTATAGGTGGATGAATTTATGTCTGGATTCTCAATTTGTTCCATTGGTCTATGTATCTGTTGTGTACCAGTACCAGGCTGTTTTGACTATCGTAGGGGTATAACAGGTTTTAAAATCAGGTAGTGTGAGACCTCCCACTTTGTTCTTCTTCTTGAGTAATGCTTTACTTATCCGGGGCCTCTTCCATTTCCAAATGATGTTGGTGATTTGTTTCTCCCATCTCATTAAAAAAATGCTGTTGGAATTTGGATTGGTATTTCTCTGTTTCTGTAGATTGCTTTGGGTAGAATTGACATTTTCACAATGTTGAGTCTTCTATCCATGAGCAAGGTATGTTTTTCCACTTATGCAGGTCTCTTTTGGTTTCTTGCAGTAGTGTCTTGTAGTTTTCATTGTATAGGTCTTTTATGTCTCTGTTTAGATTTATTCCTAAGTATTTTATCCTCTTGGGGGCTGTTGTAAATGGTATTGCTTTGGTGATTTTCCCTTTGAAGTTCTCTTTGTTGGTGTAAAGCAGTCCAACTGTTTTTTGTATGTTTAGCTTGCATCCTGATGCTTTGCTGAAATCTTCTATTAGTTCCAGTAGTTTTCTTGTGGATTCTTTGGGGTTTTCTGTGTATAAGATCGTATCATCTGCAACTAGAGATACTTCGCCTTCTTCCCTACCAATTTGGATGCCCTTTATTTCATTTTCTAGCCTAATTGCTCTGGCTAGGACCTCCAGCACAATGTTGAATAAGAGTGATGATAAATGGCATCCTTGTCTAGTTCCCGTTCTCAGGTGGAATGCTTTCAAACTTTCTCCATTTAGGATGATGTTGGCTGTTGGCTTTGTATAAATGTCCTTAATTACATTGAGGAATTTCCCTTCTATTCCTATTTTGTTGAGAGTTTTTATCATAAATGGGTGTTGGACTTTGTCAAATGCCTCTTCTGCATCGATTGATAAGATCATGTGGGTCTTTTCTTTTGTTTTATTAATGTAATGGATTACACTGATTGTTTCTCCAGTGTTGAACTGTCCCTGCATATCTGGTATAAATCCCACTTGATCATGGTGAATTATTTTTTTTATATGTTGCTGAATTCTGTTGGTTAGAATTATGTTGAGGATTTTTGTGTCAGTGTTCATGAGGGATATTAGTCTGTAATTTTCTTTTTTTGTGATGTCTTTAGCTGGTTTAGGTATCAGGGTTATACTGGCTTCATATAATGAGTTTGGGAGTATGCTGTCCTTTTCTATGCTCTGAAATACCTTTAGTAGTAGTGGTGTTAACTCTTCTCTGAAGATTTGGTAGAATTCTCCAGTGAAGTCATCTCGGCCAGGGCTTTTTATTGTTGGGAGTTTTTTAATTACCTTTTCAATCATTTTTTTGTTATGGGTTTATTTAGTTGTTCTACCTCTGTTTGTATTAGTTTTGGTAGGTAGTGAGTTTCTAGAAATTTGTCCGTTTCCCCTAGGTTTTCAAATTTGTTACAGTACAGTTTTTCATAGTATACTATCACGATTCTTTTAATTTCAGTTGGGTCTGTTGTGATATCACCCATCTTGTTTCTTTTATGGGTTATTTGCTTCCTCTTGTTTTTCTTTTGTCAGTTTGGCCAGTGGTTTATCAGTTTTGTTGATCTTTTCAGAGAACCAGCTTTTGGTCTTGTTAACTCTTTCACTTGTTTTTCTGTTCTTTATTTCATTTAATTCTTCTCTAATTCTTATTATTTCCTTTTTTCTGGCGCCTGAGGGCTTCTTTTGCTGCTCTCTTTCTACTCATTTCAGTTGTAAGGTTAATGTTTTTATTTTGTCCCTTTCTTCTTTTTGGATGTGTGCATTTATTGCTATAAACTGACCTCTGAGCACTGCTTTTGCTGTGTCCCAAATGTTCTGGTAGGATGTATTTTCATTCTCGTTTGAGTCTATGAATTTCTTTATTCCATCCTTAATTTCTTCTATAACCCAGTAGTTTTTGAGTAAGGTGTTCAGTTTCCATGTGTTGGATTTTTTTTCCTTCCCTTTTCTGTTATTGATTTCCACTTTATGGCTTTATGGTCAGAAAAGATGCTTTGTAATATTTCAGTGCTTTGGATTCTGTTAAAGCTTGCGTTATGGCCTAATATGTGCTCAATTCTGGAGAATTGAACCCAACTTTTGAACTGTGTTCTACAAGGACATATATTAATTGATTATTAAAACCAGTGTGTTTTCCCACATAAGCATTGTTTTTAATGACTACAGAATATACCCTCATATGGCCCCTTGTCCTTGGTTTTAGGACTATCACATTTTTGCTCATCTGCTAATTTTTTTTTGTTGTAACAAGTGAACATGTTTCTGTATGAAGCTTTATCTGAATTTTCCCTTCTTCTCCCTGCCTATGCCGGCCCCTGCCATCACTGATTCTGCTGCCCGATATTCTTTGAGGATTAAATGACTTTTTAGGTGCTTAGCACACTGTGTGACAGTGCTGAATAAATGTTATTGTCACAAACCTCTCCATGACTCAACAGTGGGACAAGGAAATAAGAAAGCTTGACATTGGTTCTTTTAGACAAGCACTGGGGTCTTTCAGCAATAGTACAGTAGGTGATGCCAAATGGAGGAGGGAAATCGAAAGTTTGAAGCTTTGATAGGGAAAGGAATTTCTGTGGTCAGTCAGCTGGGTTGGGTATTCCCAGTTACGTATTATCTAGGTAAAAGGAATCCCTTAGCTGGATACTGACTGAATGTAAGTGTTTTCCTTTAAATTAAAATTCTGTAAGTGTGTTAAAAGTAATAATACATTTGAAAGACATTACAAAATGTTCTTTAAAAGTGTAACTTTTGTATGTCATATTTGTTTATTGTATTTGTATTTTATATTTTTTTTGATATTTTATTCAAAAGTGTGTCCAGTGATATCTCTCTTTTTTTGTTTGTTTGTTTTTTAATTATCCTAGTCACGTGAACTGGAAATTTCAGTTTATTGGCGTGATTGGCGATCTCTGTGTGCTGTAAAATTTCTGAGGTTAGAAGATTTTTTAGACAACCAACGACATGGCATGTGTCTCTATTTGGAACCACAGGGTACTTTGTTTGCTGAGGTAATAAATGTGTTTTATTAAATGTGCATAACTTCAGTTGAAATTATGTATGCAGACAGCATGATATAGAAATGGAAAGAGTGTTAGGCTGAAAGACAGACACCTTGAATTGTTGGCTCAGTTCTGCCAGTGAATAGATATGTGATCTTGAGAAACATTTATCCTTTCTCGATCAAGTTTCTCATCTAGAAAATGAGAGGGTTGGACTAAATTGTATCTAAGATTCCTTTAAGCTTTCATATCTAAAAAGTTTAGTGAATTTCATTAACCAAAAATCTAATGCTAATTTTTATCTGAACTTGAATTTTCTTCACTGCAGGTTACTTTTTTTAATCCAGTTATTGAAAGAAGACCAAAACTCCAAAGACAAAAGAAAATTTTCTCAATACAACAAGGTAGTTTTTAAGAATCAAATACAAACTGTCTTGGTGTTATCTTAAATATAGAAAATCTAAATACTTTTCAAAAAGTGATACCCATTCATGGGTTTTTTTTTTTTTTAAGTTCACTTATTTCTAACTTTTTTAAGGAAAATTTCAAACATATACTGTATTTTAATGCAAATAATGTGAGCCTTTTACATTTCTTTGCCAACTGTGGCCTCAAAAAAATTAGCACATTGGCACTTACACAAAAATACCTCGTAAACAAACATAGGACGTGCGTGTTATATGCATAAATAGGTACATAAGAAGAGAGAATAGTATAAAGTACCATTACCCAGCTTCAACAATGATCAAGTCTCAGCCAGTTTTGTTTCATTCATATACACATCCATTCACTACTTCCTCAGATTACTGGAAGCAAACTCAGGCATCATATTGATTTCAGCCATAAATATTAACACTTTGTTTCTCTAAAAGATAAGGATTCTTTTTTAAACCTTAACCACATGTGAATACTAGAATTAATAAAAAACATAACAATGCCTTGCCTATTTATTTTTAAAACTATTTATGTTACTATTCACCGGCCTATAATAATGAATAGATAAGAACTAATTTCAGTTACAAATTTTGTTTGTTCTTCATAAATTATAAACTGATGAATATGAATTTTTAAATTATGGCTTTTGGTAAAATATAAAGAGAAATTACTTGTTCTGTTTTCTTTATTCACAATGTCCACAGGCAAAACATTTCTTAGAGCTCCTCAAATGAATATTAATATTGCCACTTGGGGAAGGCTAGTGAGAAGAGCTTTTCTAAATCATACTGGCACTTTCAGCCCTCCAGCTTCTGTGCCTGCTACAGTGCCAGTGGTTGATGTACGCATCCCTGAACTAGCACCTCCAGCTAGGTATGTGTCTAAGATTTTTAGGCATCACTTATGTAAACTAAGTACTGTGACATTCATACATATTGGTTACAGTGGCTGTATTGAAAGTCTCATTTTTCAAAGTTGTATTTTGAAATGAGTATTCTGCTTACTTACAAAATTTAAATTGTTTGCTTTGATTCTAAAGCTATTTAAAATATATACTTTTGACTGACTGTTTCTGGTGAATTACTTTATGTTCTATAAGTGATTCTGCAGTAACCAAATTGGACTTTGATTTTGAACCTGAACTTCCTCTGGCCCCACTACATGCTTCTTCCCTTGGAGAAATAGATGAATCTACTGAATTAAGAGTTTTGGATACACCAAGACAGGCAAGACATTTTAAACCTTGTATATAATTCCTTTTCACCAAATGAATTAGCAGTAAAAGCATCATAGTGAATGAAGTGTACCTTTCAATTAATTAAAAATGCCTGTGTGAGCAATATATTGTTTCTTATGGTTGTTTTTTCTCAACAAAATGAGATCGAGTTGACAGAAAATGACCGACTTCTTAATGTTAGCATACCGTTGGCATTAGCCTGTGTATGCACATGGACCAGTGGAGGTGGAAAAGACCACTTAAGCTAGAAGGAGCATAGGAGCATGGTTGACATTAGATGGCATGTTACCTGACAAACGCTTTATCTTTATCTGCAATATCGTTTTGTCATTTGAATGTAATCCGTGGGGAGCCAGATAATCAATTACCTAACTAACTAAATAATTATATGTAGTTAACATCATTTCTGAATATTTACAGAAGATGAAAATAATGTGTTATTATTATATTTTCATATTTTTAGATTAGTATAGGATTAATAATCATGAGAATGACTATCCAATATCTGAATTTTACTTTTCTCACTAGTATTTATATTAATTTTTGAAATGTTTAACTTCATCCTTAACTAAATGAGTTTCTTTTCTGAAAGTTTTTATGGTTTAATGAGCATTTAATATTTTGCAGGATTCAGCAACTACTTTTGATATTGAGAATGACAGAAATAGTATACTTCAAAAATCCCAATCTGAATATGAGCTTGATATTCCTCAATCAGGACTAGATTATAGTGGTATTCAAGAATTTGAGGATAGAAGGTAAAGAATTTATACATAGTTTTGCTGCTACATGTTTGGTCCCGTACATAATTGCCTTTTTTTTTTAATTAAAATTACTGTTTTCAGATCTCAGCAGAGGTTTCAGTTTAATCTACAAGACTTCAGGTGTTGTGCTGTCTTGGGTAGAGGACATTTTGGAAAGGTAATCTTTTGAAATTTTTTTTGAATACCTACAGAACTAATAACTGAACTGAGAAATAATTTTAATCTCATTTCAGGTGCTTTTGGCTGAATATAAACACACAAATGAGATGTTTGCTATAAAAGCCTTAAAGAAAGGAGACATTGTAGCTCGAGATGAAGTAGACAGGTTAGTTTTTCAAAAATGAAATTGTTTTTCTGAAATTATAATTGATTTACATATTGCAACAGCAAAACTTTGATGTTTCATAGTAATATATGAAGAAAATAAATACGTCTCTACTTGACATAAGGTAGACCTTAATTAAATATTTTTTTCTAATCCTCCCTACTTCCCCTTTTTTGACAATTAACTGGTTATTGGATACCCAGAAAACTTGGTGAAATATATAAATTAGTTCCATTAAGTTTTGTATACTTTTACATGTTGAAGTATTTCTGTAGAATAGGAAACTACTCATCAGTGTTGAGTGAGTCTAGATCCTATTTCATCTTCAGGAAGTGATAAACTATCATTTGTAGAAAATCTGCAATTAACTGGTAGTGAACTTAAAAGCGCAAAGGAAGTAACTCTTGAATCAGTGGTACAACAAAAAAAAAGTGTGTGTGTGTCTTGCTTTTTAAAATGTACTTGTCTTAGTTATCTAGTGCTGCTATTACAGAAATACTGCGCGTGAGTGGCTTTAGCAAACAGTACTTTATTTTCTCACTATTTAGGGGGCTAGAAGTCCAAATTCAGGGCATTGGCTCTAAGGGAAGGCTTTCTCTTTCAGCTCTAGGGGAAAGTCCTTGTCTCTTTTCAGCTGCTGTTCCTTGGCTTCTTGGTCATCTTCATGTGGCATGCATCTGTGTATCCCCTTCTCTCCTTGCTTGCTTAATCTGCTCTTCCATATCTCAAAAGAGATTGATTTAAGACACACCTACACTAATACTGCAACATTAACATAACAAAGAAAACCCATTCCCAAGTGAGGTTATAACCACAAGTATAGGGATTAGGATTTACAACACATATTTTTGGGGGACACAGTTCAATCCATAATAATACCTATATCTATTTTTTCCTTTATTTTCTTAGAACCGTATTTTTTGACCATAGCATCTTAAATTTCTGGGTTTAATAAATGTAAATTGATGTAGGTACATCTTTACATTCAATTTTTAAAATAATATATGTTTAAGGTGAAAGTTTACACCACAAATTAGATTCCCATTTAATTTTTACACAAATTATTCAGTGATATTGGTTACATTTTTCACAATGTGTCATTATTCTCACTTACTCTGTTCTGGTTGTACCATTTCCAGTACTCTAGTTTACCTCCCCCCTTACCTTCTCATCTTAGCTTTAGAGTAATTTTTGATCATTTGGTCTCATATAGATGATTTTCTAAAGGAGCTCAGTATTCACTGGTGACATTCTTTATTTTATGAGCCAATCTGTTATTTAGCTAAAAGGTGACCTCAAGGGATAATTTCAGTTTAAGGCTTAAAGAGTATCTCAGGGTGATACATACAGTTCTTAAACTGCAAGAACTTTGAGGATAAAGGTTGTAATTAGGCTAGAGAATATACTTTTTTCAAGAGTATTTTAAAAAGTTAATATAGTGATAAAATATAGAAATTATTATATAACAAATGGCATATTTATCACAGAAAGAGATTTTCGTTTGATATTTAGAAGTTTTTCCCTTACACAACAACTAGGAAGCATCTGTTGAATATTAATGGAAGATAGCCCTTTATAATGAAAAGAGCCCTGGACTGCAAGTGAGAAGCCTGACTTCTAGTCTTGACTGTTACTTGTTAATTAATGCTTTGACATCAGGGCATTTTATTTAACCTCTCTCAACCTCAGTAAACCATACATTTTTTAAAAAATACTTTTTGGCGATACTTGTGTTACTAGGCTATATTGTTCTTGTTAGGTGCTATCCGCTTGGTTCCGACACATAGCCACCCTGTGTACAACACAATGAAACAACATAGGATGGCCCAGTCCTGTGCCATCCTCACAATGGTTGCTAATGGGGGAGTCCATCATTGCAGCACTGTGTTGGTCTGTCTCGTTGAGAGTTTTCTTCTTTTTCACTGACTCTCTACTGACCATGATCTCCTTATCCAGAGAATGACCCCTCCTGATAACATGTCCAAAGTACACGAGATGAAGTCTTGCCATCCTTGCTTCTCAGGAACATTCTGGCTGTACTTCCTTCCAAGACAGATGTGTTCATTTTTCTGGCAGTCCATAGTATATTCAGTATTGTTCACAAACACCGTAATTCATATGCATCAATTCTTCGGACTTCCTTATTCATTGTCCAGCTTTCACATGCATATGTGGCGATGGAAAATACCATGGCTTGGATGAGGTGTACCTTAGTCCTCTGAGTGACATCTTTGCTTTTTAACAGTTTAAATAGATCTTTGCAGCAGATTTGCCCAATGTGGTATGTCTTTGGATTTCTTGACTACTGCATCCACGAATGTTGATCGTGGATCCAAGTAAAATGAAATTCTGGGAAACTTCAGTATTTTCTCCATTTAGCATGTAGCTTATTGGTCCAGTTGTGAGGACTTTAGTTTTCTTTGTGTTGAGGTGTAATCCTTACTGAAGGCTGTAGTCTTTGATCTTCATGAGTAAGTGCTTCAAGTCCTCTTCACTTTTAGCAAGCAAAGTTGTGTCATCTGCATATCGCAGGTTGTTTATGAATCTTCCTTGAATCCTAATCTCACGTTCTTCCTCATATAGTTCAGCTTCTCGGATTATTTGCTCAGTGTACAGACTGAATAAGTATGGTGAAATGATACAACCCTGACACACACCTTTCCTGATTTTAAATCACACAGTATCCCCTCGTTCTGTTTGAAGGACTGCCTCTTTGTCTATGTACAGGTTCCTCATGAGCACAATTAAGTGTTCTGGAATTCCTATTCTTCACAATAGTATCCATAATTTGTTATGATCCACACAGTGGAATGCCTTTGTGTAGTCAATAAAGCACAGGTTTTCAGTGAAGATCCATCTGATGTCACCAATGATATCCCTCGTTCCAACTTCTCTTCTGAATCTGGCTTGAATTTCTGGTAGTTTTGTGTTAAAGTACTGCTGTAACTGCTTTTGAGTTATCTTCAGCAAAATTTTACTTATGTGTGTTATTAATGATACTGTTTGATAATTTCCACATTCTGTTGGATCACCTTTCTTTGAAATGGGCAGATTGCTGTCGGTTGGCCAGATTGCTGTCTTCCAAATTTCTTGGCATATACGAGTTACCAGCTCGAGCACTGCATCTGTTGAATCATCTCAACTGGTATTCCATCCATTCTTGGAGGCTTGTTTTTCGACAGTGTCTTCAGTGCAGCTAGCTCTTATTCCTTCACTACTGTCAGTTCTTGATACTACGCTACCTGCTAAATGGTTTCCTTCACTACCGTCAGTTCTTGATATTACGCTACCTCCTAAATGGTTGAACATCGACCAATTCTTTTTTGGTACAGTTACTCTGTATATTCCTTCCATCTTCTTTTGATCCTTCCTGAGTTTTCAGTATTTTCCCAGTAGAATCCTTCAATATTGCAACTCAAGGCTTGAATTTTTTCTTCAGCTCTTTCAGCTCGAAAAACGCCGAGCATGTTTTTTCCTTCTCAAGCTGCCATTTGAAATCTCCTGTTCAGCTCTTTTACTTCATCATTTCTTCTATTTGCTTTAGCTTCTCTTAAGTTCAAGAGCAAGTTTCACAGTCTCTTCTGACACTCATTTTGGTCTTTTTTTTTCTTTACTGTCTTTTTAATGACCTTTTGCTTTCTTCGTGTATGATGTCCTTGATGTCATTCCACAACTCGTCGTCAGTCATTACTGTTCAGTGCGTTAAATCTGTTCTTGAGATTGTCTCTAAATTCAGGTGAGATGTATTAAAGGTCATGTTTTTGCTCTTGTGGGCTTGTTTTAATCTTCTTCAGCTCCACCTTCAGCTTGCACATGAGCAATTCACGGTCTGTTCCAAAGTGGGCCCTGGTCTTGTTCTAAAATATTGAGTTTCTTCATCATCTCTTTCCACAGATATAGTCAGTTTGATTCCTGTGTATTCCATCCGGTGAGGTCCACATGTTGCCGTTTATGTTGTTGATAAAAGGTTTTCCAATGAATAAATCATTGGTCTTGCAAAATTCTATCATGCTATCTCTGACGTCATTTCTATCACCAAGGCCATATTTTCCAGCTACCAATCTTTCTTCGTTTCCAACTTTCACATTCCAATCACCAGTAATTATCAGTGCATCTTTATTGCATGTTTTATCACTTTAAGACTGCAAAAGTTGGTAAAATCTTCAGTTTCTTTATCTTTGGCCTTAGTGGTTGGTGCATAAATGTGAATAGTAGTGGTATTAACTGGTCTTCCTTATAATTGTGTGGATATTATCCTGTCACTGACAGCGTTGTACTTCAGACCACTCATCTATCAGTTTGTCATACTGTGGTGGCTTGCATGTTGCTCTGATGCTGGAAGCTATGCCACTGGTATTTCAAATACCAGCAGGGTCACCTATGGTGGACAAGTTTCAGCAGAGCTTCCAGATTAAGACAGACTAGGAAGAGGGACCTGGCCATCTACATCTGAAAAAAAATTAGCCAGTGAAAACCTTAAGAGTAGCAGCAGTACATTGTCTGATACTGAGCCAGAAGATGAGCCCCTCAAGTTGGAAGGCATTCAAAATGGGACTGGGGAAGAGCTGCCTCCTCAACGTAGAATCAACCTTAGTGATGTAGATGAAGTCAAGCTTTCGGTACCTTCATTTGCTAATGTAGCATGACTCACAATAAGAATGAACAGCTGCAAAAATCCTTTAATAATGGGAACGTGGAATGTATGAAGGATGACTCTAGGAAAATTGGAAGACATCAAAAATGAAATGGAATGCATAAAGATCAATATCGTAGGCATTAGTGAATGGAATATTGTCATATAGTGCCAGAAGATGAGCCCCTCAGGTTGAAGGCACTCAAAATACAACAGTGGTTTCAACAGTGGGCTCAAACATAGCAACGATTGTGAGGATGGCGTAGGTCTGGGCTGTATTTCATTCTGTTGCACATAGGGTTGCTATGAGTCGGAACCAACTTGACAGCACCTAACAACACTCAGAAATGGGGGGAATCAAAACTCAGAGGGAATGTTCTGCTAATGTTCGGTAGGGGGTGTGATCTTTGCGTGTAATTCATTTTATTTTAGAGTTAATCCATAATATTTTTTGATTTAAAAAGAGGTTGATTTGAAATTCTCTGTGATCTATGTAAGGGCAATTTTCTAAGTAAAATAATATAATCCATGATATAGAAAGAAACTTCAGGCTATCTAAAAGAACTGTTTTTAAGAACCAGGAAGTATTTTAGAAACATCTATTTAAAAAAAAAAAAAAAAAACACTAACATGCAGGAACATTGAATTCTAATGATCTATTAAGAAGAGTCAGACAGTGACTCTAAAGGATACTGCCTAGTTATAATTAGCTTAGTTTGAGGTATTTACTATTCAGACTTGCAAGTAATGAACATATGTAATGAAAACATATGCTGGTCTTTTTTGTTGTTTTTTTTTGTAATTTATTTTTTTCTTGCCTTCCTCTAATTGCTCCTTCTTTCCTACCTTCCTCAAATTTCTCCAATAGTTTTATTTCTCACTCTGAATTTCCCATTTTTCTACTTTAGTACCAGTTCTTCTGGAGATCATTTTGTTTCCATGTTTCTGAAAAGTATGGGGGTTTAAAACTGAAGTTAGATAAGGATCACTCACAAACTTTTCTCCAAGGCTGGATTCATTTTCAGTTCTGGTAAAATACCATTCACTGATCTAGACATTCTTCTTTAATATTATATCAATATTATTCTGTCTAGAGATTTAATTGAAAAATATTTTCCTAAAATAATGGGTTAAAGTAGGAACAATATAGCAGAAAGCCATATAAACCACCAAGATTAACAGAGGTAGTCCTATTATTTTAGGAAACAAGTGAATTTGCCACTTACAGATCTGAAATAAAGCAAACATTCTTGCAGGAATGAAAAACATTTGACCCTTCTTTTGTTGCAATTATGAATAGACTGAAGGTGGGATTAAAGATTTGCTTTAATCATCTGCTATGTAACATAAAAACATAGCTCCAAGCATGTAATACGGTATTCAGAATATTTTATAAATATCCAGCAAAATCCTCACTAAGTAGTTTTAGGTATCAAGAATGAGTTTTACTTTGATCTGCTTGAGGAGTATAAGAAAAAATGAAAAATATAGGTAAAAACTAAATGGGCAAATCCAAAAGGGAAAGCTTTTTTACATAAAGGAAAAACCTTAGTCTTTTAATGTCTGTTCTAATTCTAAACACTTCCGTTAACATTGATGGAAACACATTAATAGGAACAATTTGATATATCTATATGGCATTTACCATAATATAGCCTATATTATATTATCCTACCACTGATAGTGTTATACTTCATGATAAATCTTGAAATGTTCATTTCAACAATGAATGCAGTGCCATATTCCTCTTCAATTTGTCATTTTCAGCATAGTAGACCATATGACTGACTGATTCAAAATGGCCAGTACCAGTCATTTCAGCTCACTGTTGTTGTTAGGTGCTGTTGAGTCAGTTCTGACTCATAGTGACCCCAGGTACAACAGAATGGAACACTGTGCCGTCCTCATAATCGTTGGGGCAATGTTTGAGCCCACTGTTGCAGCCACTGTTGTATATTGAGTGTCTTCCAACCTGAGGGCTGATCTGGCACTATATCAGACAGTGTCCCACGGCTATTCATAAGGTTTTCACTGGCCAGTTTTTTCAGACATAGACCACCATGGCTGACCATGCTGGTATTTGAAATACCAGTAGCATAGCTTCCAGCATCACAGGAACATGGAAGCCGCTACGGTACAGCAGACTGACAGATGAGTGGTGGCCATTTCTGAGTAAGAATGTTAAATTTATGTTATTGTAATGCCTCCTCACTCAGCTTCTTTTTCTTGCCAGTTCGTAATTCAAGACAACAGAATAGGGTTGGGAGTACATTTTTGGCATCATAGAACAAAACACAGCTAACTAGCTCATATAGAATTCAATCCTGTGACTTAGCCTTATTAATGATGTGGTTTTCTACTGACTAGAATAACTTAATGCAGTTTTTAAGTTTCTAGCATATTTAATAATATTCTGAACTCTGAAGGAAGTGCACAAAAAATGTTAGGATGGAGCTGTCCATTTAGTCAGAGAGACCAGACACAAACACATTAAATATGTAAATAAGAGGGTTGATGTATTTGAGTCAGAAATAAACAATATAGGCAACACTAGTTCATTGAAAGGAGGAAATCATAGTGAACTGATGGATTTAAGTGAGGCTTTATAAAGACAATTGAATTTGTGCTGTTCTTTGACAGACAGAAGGTATTTGGGAATATGGAAAGAAGAGAAAGGACAATTTAGACAAAAGGGTTTTGGACAGAATGAATCAAGTTTTAAAGTTTTGAATAGGATTGGATTGTTCCGTGAACCCCTAAGAAGAATGTACTAATTAGATAAGGTTGGGACAAGTTAAAGACTGCTGTGGAGTGGCTTTTTTTGTGTGTGTGCTATAAAATACTTAAAATTATTTTAAGGCCTTTCTCCTTTCTCTTTGTCCTAAGATATCTATCCACTATTGCCACTCCTTATCAACTTCAGTTTTAGTGAATGACATTAAAACCATTTTAAGAAGTATTTAATAGTGAGTTCCAATCTTTTACACCATTTACATCTTCAACACAGATCTGACCTAACACCTCTCATTGCAAATAATGATTCTCAACAATCCCATTGAATTGAAAATTAGTAATTCACCTATAAATACAAACCATTGATAAAAAAAAAGACCGTGTTTGTCATCTGTTGTTGTTGTTAGGTGCTGTGGAGTCAATTTTGACTTATAGGGACCCCACATGACAGAGTAGAACTGCCTCATAGGGTTTCCTAGGCTATAATCTTAACAAAAGCAGATCACCACATCTCTCTCCCACAGAACTGTTAGGTGGGTTCTAACTGCCAGCCTTTGGGTTAGCAGCTGAGCACTTAACTGTTGTGCCTCCAGGGCTGCTTGTTTGTTATCTGCTTGAGCCCAAAACATAATAAAGAGTTTTGTCTAATTCATCTGAGTATTTTATCTACGTTAGCCAAAATTAGGATTGCGTTCATAAACCAGGTGTTTTAATATCTATTTTATAGGTCTTGCCCAAAGCAATTTTTACGACATTGTTTTCCAGTAAAATTTAAGTTGTGATGAAAACCAGAACTATTACCTTTCCTTTTCATCTTCTATGAATTTGTTTCTCTTAATGTTTTAATTTGTAGTAACATTTAGAAACTTTGCCAAAATTTTCAAAAAAATATACGTAAACATGAGCCTAAAGTTTTTAAAACAATTACAGTGGAGCGTTCTGTTTCTTACTATGTATAAAATTAAAAACAGATTGTGTAAAATCAAGGGGTAGGAGTTCATCTAGAATGTGACAGTATTAAATGGAGTTTAAACATCATATCGTAATAGCTTCATTTTGCTATCAGTATTTAAAAATGAATGGGTATTTGGGTTCATAATTCAAAAGACAACTATACTTATATAGCATTAAAAATTCCATGCTGCTTTACACAGCAGGTAGACTTTTAAATGTTTTCAAAATTATGTTCAATTTTTTAGAGTCATTGCTGCAAGTTAGGGTACTCAAATAAATACTTTATCTTTGGAATTAGTATTTTTTAAATTCTTTCCCAGAACACTCAAAAGGAAGCAGAATGTCTGTCTTCTGACATCAGAATTTTAGTTTGGCATTTTGGAATAAACAAAAAAAACTAAGCAACTTTTCCCCTTTAAAAAGACTTTAATAATGTCAGTTTTTGGTTCTAATCTCAAAAACAAAAAATGTGTCTATTTTGTGTTAGAAACATAAATATCTACTTGTTAAGAAAGTATGACCTGTTGGTATATTTTGATCAGGTACTGAAAGTAAGTAAGTCAATTCAAGTTTAATTTGAATAATATTTTACCTAGTTTTCTTCTACTTTGAGTTTTAAATCAAGTTGATGAAAAAATATTTTCAGGGAAGAAAGAATTGATTTGTTTTTCTATTTGGGTAGAATTAATGTTTCAGAGTCAATTCGTTTGACCTCTGCTCTTTGTAGCAGCTAGTCTTAATTCTTAGAGGGAAAATTTGTGATTGCAGTAGATTTTCTTTTGTTTTTATGGAAAAATTACATAACTCTGAAGGAGCTTCCTTGAAGAATGCTGTAGAATTCTGTATGTAGCCACTTTATTTTCCATAATTTAGGTTCATTTTAGTAAATTTTAATTTACTAGATCTTTATTTTAATTAAAATTAAAAATTTTTAAATCTACCTTCTAAATTAAAATTTTATGCAGAATTAAACCAGTTATGCCTGTACCTCTCAACTATATATTTTATGTAATAAAAAATTGAGTATTATAGCTTATGAATTTTATAATTCATACTATCCTCAAAATTACCTTGGACACAGACTTCATATTTTTTAGATTATCCTTCAGGTTGCTATGTTCAGTGACCAATTCTTGATAAAATTTCATGATTCATCCCTAATTAAGCCCTTTTTATCAAATATAGCCAGTAGCCATATTATATGCTACTCTTATATTATCAGTATGAACTCTATAGTCATTGTCATGCTAATGATATTTTAGTTTTCATGAAAATATTTCAATTCAAGTAGAAAGTTTGTATAATATCTACAGGAAAACTAAGAAACATTTTATGGGTTTAAGGATATAATAGTTAATTTGTTTATTTTTGGGTTTAATTTTTCAAAAATATGTTATTTCCAACTAGAGTTTTTTTTTAAAATCTATTGATTTTTAAATGTTTTCTTTTGCAGCCTCATGTGTGAAAAAAGAATCTTTGAAACTGTGAATAGTGTAAGGCATCCCTTTTTGGTGAACCTTTTTGCATGTTTCCAAACCAAAGAGCATGTTTGCTTTGTAATGGAATATGCTGCCGGTGGGGACCTAATGATGCACATTCATACTGATGTCTTTTCTGAACCAAGAGCTGTGTGAGTATGCTTTAGACATTTCTCTGGTTTTTCCATGACTGATTTCTTTCCGGAAAGGAAAAGAGCTCTCTGTGAATTTTAGAGCTTTTTACTGGAAAGTAGATCTCTGCAAGCAATATTAGAACTCCTTACGTACCTTTTTGCTATATATAGATGTCTTTACTTTGTTGTCCATGTTGAAAATATCATAGATTAGCCTAAATCTCTCTTGATAATTTAGTTACATAATTTGGGTTCATTTTAGTAGAATTTTCATCTTTTTTCTATTAGATTTTCTCCCTAGGGAATGCCAGCCAGGCCCATGGCTTTAAATACAAACTATGCTCTAAAATACATTGTTAAGTGAAAAAAGAAAGTGCAGAACAGTCTGTATTGTATGTCTGTATAAAATATTTATATTTGCATTTTTAAAGGGATTTAAAAAATTCATATTAAGTATTTGCTTGCATGTGCTTATGATATCTCTGAAAGAATACAAAAGAAATTGGTAAATATTTATTGCCACCAAGGAATGGGGTAGAAAGCAGACTTTTTGCTATAAACCTCTTTTTGTAGTTTTTGAATTGGATATATGACAGTTTTGCTCATTCAAATAAATAAAAATAAATAATAGTAAACACTTGAAATATATATATATCCCCCCAATTCCTATCCCAGTTTTATAGCTCTTAACTGACATTTTATAGTACTTTTACTCCTTCATTTAATTCTCATCATACCCATTGGAGGTATGTAGAGCAGACAGTAGTAGTACTGTCATAACTTTCAACATTCAGATAAGGAAATATGGGTTAGTGCTAATGAGTAGTTAAGCATTCAAAAAGGAGGCAAAAGCCAAAAAGTGGAAAAAGGCTACCAATAATTCATTTCCTGAATACAAAAAAATCAAAAGCAGGGCATCTTCACCATGCTAGCACTGTACTAACTACCATGGGAATTTGTTTGTTGTGCTTTTTGTTTTTTAAAGAAATAGGGATTGCAGTTCTGCCTTAATGGACGTTTATTTTTGCTGAGAATACAAATCATATACAAATGAAACAGTTGTGCCTGGTGAAATTCATGGATAAAATGCTACATTGCAATACCTCAAAGCTGATCATTCCTGTAATTACTCAGGTGTCAGCTCAAATGTCCTATCTTTAGAAGGTCCTTTTCTGAGCACCCTATCTGAAATACCACCACTCTACTAATCTTCAAATCAAGTCTATCATACTTTCTATTACATTTTCTTCATAGCACTTTATTTCTACCTTAAATCATTTATTTTTTGTTTTGTTTTTGTTTTTTTTTTACTTTTGTGTGTGTGCATACACTTTAGCTAAAACTTTACAGAGCAAATTAGTTTCTCATTCAACAATTTGTACACAGGTTGTTTTGTGATACTGGTTGCAGTCCCCGCAACATGTGAACATACTCCCCTTCCACATCCCACTTCCCCATTTTTGTCTATCCAGTTTTCCTGTCCCTTTCTGCCTTCTTCTCATTGCTTTTGGGCAGGTGTTGCCCCTGTGGTCTTGTATACATGATTGAACTAGCACGTTCCTCAGGTGTGTTATTGTTTTATAGAACTCTCTAATCTTTGACTAAAGGGTGAATTCGGGAGTGGCTTCAGTTCTGGGCTTAAAGGTTGTCTGGGGCCATAGTCTTGGGGGTTCTTCCGGTCTTTGTGAACCCAGTAAGACTGGTCTTTTTTGTGTGAATTTGAATTTTGTTCTACATTTTTCTCCCATTCTGTCCGGGACCCTCTGTTGTGATACCTGTCAGAGCGGTTGGTGGTGGTAGCCAGGCATCATCTAGTTCTTCTCGGCTTAAGCTGGTGGAAGCTGTGGTACTTGGTGGTCCATTAGTCCTTAGACTAATATCTCCCTTGTGTCTTTGGTTTTCTTCATTCTCCGTTACTCTGGACAGGATGGGACCAGTAGATGTATCTTAGATGGATGCTCACAAGCTTTTAAGACCCCAGATGCTACTCACCAAAGTTGGATGTAGAACATTTTTTTATAAACTTTGTCATGCCAACTGACCTAGATGATCCACATGACCATGGTCCGCAGCCCTTGGCCCCAATAACTCAATCCCTCAGGGTTTTGGATGTGTCTGTGAAGCTTCTGTGTATGTTTTATGTTTTTATTGACAGCCTCCCCTCACTAAAAGGGAGGAACAAGGACCATGCCTATCTTGTTTACCAGCAAAGCACTTAGAGGAATGCCTGGCACATAATAGGCAGTGAATTTTTTTTGATTTGTTATTTTTTTATTGTACTTCGGGTGAAGGCTTACAGAACAAATAGTTTCTCAGGAAACAGTAGTACACATATTGTTTTATGACATTGGTTAACAACCCCACAACATGTCAACCCTCTTAACTTCTCAACCTTTTTTTTTGGTGAAAATACACATAGCCAAAGAGACACCATTTCAAAAATTTCTACATGCACAGTTCAGTGACATTGACTACACTCTTCCAATTGTGCCGTTATTCTCACTTAAGATGAAGGCTTACAGAACAAAATAGTTTCTCATTTAACAGTTACTACAAATGTTGCCCTATGACAATGGTTAACAATCTCACAACACATCAACAATATCCTTACTCAACCTTGGGTTCCCTATCACCAGCTTCCTTGTCCCCTTCTGCCTTCTGGCCCTTGTCACTGGACTACTGTACTAGGCAGAGAATTTTTATTGGTTGAGATTGTTTTATTCCTAGCTTTGCTATTTTCTGGCTAGCTATGTGACTAAACAAATTACGTACTCTTTCTGAACTTCATTTTCTGCTTCTGTTAAATATCTTAAAGGCTTGATTTGAAGATTTAATAAGCTAATAAATGAAAATATTTAACACGGCATCTGTCACATACTAAGCACCCAGTAAAATATATTTTTTAAATAGTGTATCCAATTATTTAAGTTGAGTACCACTGGCGAATTATTGACAAAGAGAAATCAAGATATTTTTATAATTGTTATAATGTTGTTTTGCCACTGAAATAAGTTCTCTAAAAAATTACGTATAAAAATAACTGCCTTAAAGCAATTTTATATCACGTTTGTTTACACAGACTTCAGCTAAATTTTTTAATTTCTGATAATTATATAAGATCTAATGTACAATCAAATATTTATAAATAGATGCATTTTAAAATTCTTCCAAATTATGGTCCCCTTTTTAAAAAATAAACACAAAACACTACTGCATTATCTACATCTACATATAAATGCATTCTAAAAGTTTGTAACAACATATACCAAATGGATGAGAGTAATTATCTCTATGGATGGTAGTGGGGTTGGGATGAGATAGATGGAAGAATGAAATATTGATCATAATTGTATTTTATAAAGAGAATATTCATGTTTTCCTTGTATGATTAAGAATTAATTCTCCTAAGTGTCTCCTTACAGGCTATTCTACACTGAAGACAGATCTGTGTTTTAAAATTTATTCATTTATTTATTCCCTCCCTCCTCATTCAATAAGTCTACTGTGTTTTGGACATTATGCTAGGTTTTTAACATTAAGAAAAAAACCAAATCCGTTGCCATCAAGTCAGTTCCAACTAGGCATTTAGGATTTAACACTGAAAAAGACAAACGTGGACCTAGACTGAAGAGCTAATATTCTAGTTTGGCCCAAGTTTTCCTGACTTTCAAACTAATATATCCAATTATTGGATCTCTCTAACTGTTTCATAAGCAATGCAAAGTTAGCATGTCTAAAGCCAGACTCATTTTTTCCATAAAACTTTAGCTATTTCTGTATTTCTTTACCTGTTCATTCTACCTTGAGAGTTGTCTTCAGCTCTTCCCTCTCCCTCATCCTCTACAGCTAATGAGTCACCAAATCTTGTCATGTTAATTTTTAACTTTCCCTTGACTCCATCTCTTACTCTCTTTGTTGGCCCCACTACGTTAAAGGTTGTCATGATCTTTCATCTGTGCTGTCATACTAGCCTTATCTGTTCTTTTTCCCTCTGGTTCTCTACCTGCCTCTACCCCAACCTCTATACTGTTGTTGTTGTTGTTAGGTGCCGTCGAGTTGGTTCCAACTCATAGCAACCCTATACAGCAGAACAAAGCACTGCCCAGTTCTGCACCATCTGCACCAATCACTGCCATGTTTAAGCCCATTGTTGCAGCCACTGTGAAAATCCATCTCGTTGAGGGTGTTCCTCTTTTTTGCTGACCTTCTACTTTACTAAGCTTGATGTCCTTCTCCAGGGACTGGTCCTTCCTGATAACATGTCCAAAGAATGTGACACTACTATCAGAAAAATCTCTCTAAAACATAAATCTGGTGATTCTGCCCTGATTAGAATAGTTTGATTGTCTATTTACTAAGAGAAAAAATTTCGGCATCCATAATATGACCATCAAGGTCCTTCACAACATGACCCCACCCTGTCTTTCCAGCCTCATCTCCTACTACTTCTTCCCCACTGACACAAATCCATTACTCTAGCCACACCTGACTTGTCATTGTTTGTCAAACATGTTTTGCTTTTTATACTTCTGTTCCTTTTTCATGCTTTTCCCTCTTAGAGGAGTGCCTTATATTTACCCCATGATACTTTTACCTGTCACTCTTTTCCTTCTGCACTTAAGGCTCATTATAATTCTTCGTGCCGAACCAGATCAAGTATCTGCTCTGAAGTCTTCAGTGACTCCACCAGTCAGAGTTAGTGGCTTTTAATGGAGAGACTCTATTTTTCTCATTTTAATTTCACCTCATAATCTAGCACAATGTCTGGCACATACTAAGTACTAGATAAATACTTGTGAAATTAATTATCTACAGCATTCGACTTTGAAGCATAAAAATATAAACTGGGATCCAAGAACAGCAAAATTTATTAAATTTCTCTTGATTTAATTCTTCAGATTTTATGCTGCATGTGTAGTTCTTGGATTGCAGTATTTACATGAACACAAAATTGTTTATAGGTAAGTTTTTTATACGTTCTAATGATTTGCTTTTGTATAAATTAGAATTAAAGATAATTAGGAAGGATATTTTATGTTTGACCAACTTCTTATTTCTCCTTCATATGATGTGATCCAAAACATCAAAACTTCAAAATCCCATTTAGAAAGACATGCAGTTAACATAATAAATGATGAACTTCTTTGTTCCTGATCCTCCCTAATTAGTCAAATTATGAGTCAGCCTATCATAACACAATCGCAACAGCCTAACATAACCCTAGTGAATATTTTGTATTCAACTGATACACTGCAGAAAACTGCTCTAAACCACTCAAAATGTGTCCATGATAAGTAACGTATCAGAATCTTTAAGACATCGCATTGCTTCCTTCATCAAGAAGGTCTTGCTGTCATCTGAACTAAGCAGTGTACCTAGTGACATAGATGAAGTATGTACTAGCATAAGCATTTTATCAAATTGCAGACCAGTAACAAATAGTTCATTGCCTAGCAGCCTGTCTGTGGGCCACACTTTGAATAGCACTGCTCTGTTGTTGTTGGGTGCCATCGAGTCAATTCCGACTCATAACAACGCCGTATAACAGAGTAGAACTGCCCCATAGGGTTTCCTGGGCTGTAATCTTTATGGAAGAAGATTGCCAGATCTTTCTCCCATGGAGCCGCTGGGTGGGTCTGAACCACCAACTTTTTGTTAACGATCAAACACTTAACTGTTTGCGCCACCAGGGCTCCTTAGCACTGCTAAAGACCAGACAGATTATCACATTGATAACACTACTCAAGACCAGACAAATTATGAGAAGGCCAGCCAAAATTAGGAGACCATAAACATTCAAGGTCAGTTCAGTGCTAGAATTCTCATCTTCCATGCAGGAGACCTGGGTTCAATTCCTGGCCAATGCACCTCATGTGCAGCCACCACCCATCTGTCACTGGTGGCTTATGTGTTGTTATGATGCTGAGCAGGTTTCAGCAGAGCTTCCATATGAAGATGGACTAGGAAGAAAGGCCTGGTGATCTACTTCCAAAAATCAGCCAATGAAAACCCTATGGTTCACAAAAGTCCATTCTGCAGCCGATCATGGGGATGGTGCAAGATCCCCAGCATTTTCTTCCATTGTGCGTGGGATCACCATGAGTTGGGTGCTGACTCAACGGCAGCTAACAACAGCACAGTAAACATGGGTTTATTGAAACTTCAAGTTTCCTTACCTACTTAAAAAAGATGAAATATTTCTTTTTTAAATGTATTATTGCTTTTCTGTATAATAGGGAAACTATATCATGCAGAGTAAAAAACTTGACAAAAGGCAGAAAAATTAGCATTTGTAATACAGTATTTAAATCTCAGATCATAACCTGGAGAACTTGTTTTCAGTAAAGAGAATGTAGGGCTCCTGTTGAAATGATTTTTTTTTTTTACTATATTACCTACTGATTTTATTGGTTTTTTTTTTTTGTATTTTCTTTCATCCTGAACAGAGATTTGAAATTGGATAACTTATTGCTAGATACAGAGGGCTTTGTGAAAATTGCTGATTTTGGTCTTTGCAAAGAAGGTAATTGGATGTTTAAAGTTCCTTTTCTAATAGGTTGCTGTTTGTGTTTTGGTAGTTCACAGATTTGTCTTTGGAAAGCCAAATATATTTTTAACTTCAGTTTGTTGTCTATTAAGACATTGTGGATTGTTCATATAACCTGATTACCACATTATTAAGAATTTATTCTGTGAATGTGGTTAGGTTCCCACAAATCATAGTCTAAGACTAAGATTCTCTTTGTATGATTAATAATTCTGTCACTACTCTAAGAAAGCATTGATTAAACACCTAATTGTTCACTCTACTGGGGCTGTACAGAGTGAGTTATACAGGCTAAATAAGTTCTTTCCAGCTTTTTTAAAACTTTTAACATTTCAAATAGAAAAAAAAATGTATGTGTGTATCAGAATTGCTTTCTACATATTCAGAAGTAAATAAATAAGTAAACTGGGAAAACTTAAAGTCAGAGTTAGCATAAGAAAGTATAAAGAGCATGGACTTAGACACCAGACAGTCCCAGGTTTGAATCCTAGCTCTGCCACTTACCTGCTGTGTGTCTTTGGGCAAGTTTTTTTTAAACCATTTTGGGTCTGTTTTCTTAACTATAAAATCAGTATAACCCCTCCTGTTCAGGAGTACTAGGAATATCAGAGATAAACATCTACCACAGTGCCTAACATACAGTAAATAGGTATTCTTATCTTCACATTTAATACACTGTATTGTAACTAACTGTTTAATTGTCTGTCTTCCCCTCTTCACTGGTGGCTTCTTGTTTCTTATTTTGCTTTGTTGCCATAGTATATATAGCACAGTGCTTGGCACATTGTAAGTATTCAGTAAATGTTCATTTAATAAGTAGTTGGATGAATGAATGAACTGTAAGTATATGTCTACCCACTGACCTCCTAATTGTTGAATCTGGTAAAAACTGTTTCTCCTTTTGGACTTTTCTGTATTGGACATTGTTGATTTAAATTCTTTTATTCCTTAGAGTCTATTCTTAGTCCACTGCTCTTCACTCTAGTGTTTAATTACCAACTATATTCTAATCACTCTCAAATCTATTATTTCTTTTCCTGTGAGTTCCAAACATATATATTCAACTATCTCTCCAACATCTCTACCTGAATTATCAGTAGGCACCTCAAACCCATGCAGACAAAAATAGTTTCTTCTCTTCAGGTGGTCTAGCTCTTAGTTCATGGCACTGTCTCCTAGTCTGAAAATGTGTAATTGTCCTGGACTGTATCCTCTCTTCATTCAGTTATTCACTAAATTCTGCTGACGTTCACCTCCTGAATATTTCTTAGATCTTCCATTTTCCCCTACTACTGTTAAAGAGTATCTTTTGATAAGACTACTGTAATAGCTTCCTAACTGTTCTTTCCTGTCTCTAATCTTTTTCTTCTTCAAATCAATCTGCCATGCAGTTGCTAAAATGGTAAAGGGGTCTGTATAAGTACACATCTGACCATGGCACAACCCTCTGAAAACCCTTCCTGCTTTGTCAGCCTACTTTTTCAGCCAGCTCTCTTGCTGCTCTAGCAACAGTGAATTGCTTGTAGCCTATGTCTCTCCATCACTATCACCCATCCCAACTCTGTTTACTGATTAACAGTAAACTCAGGTGTCACCTCCCTAGAGAATTTACCTGAAACTCCCCTACCGCAACCCTAATGCCCAAGTCAGCTTTGGGAGTCCTTCAGTGTTCCCATAATATCTTACCATGTCAAAGAACTGTGTTTTACTCATCTTTGTGTTCCCACTGGTTAGCATAGGTGTCTGGAACATGATAGGTACTCAGAAAATATGTTATTGAATGACCAGACTTATTAAATGTGCTTTTCTTTATTATCATAAAAATATAATAGTACAGTATAATAGTAGGAGCTAACAATTACTAGTCTATACTGTGTGCTAAACACTCTGCCAAATGTTTCATATGCATGATCTCTTCTGATCCTCTTAACAGTCTTATGAAGGTAGATAGAATGATAAGCTCCAATATACAGATGAGGAGACTTACGTTAGATAACTTTCCCAAGCCCTTACAACTAACCAGTGGCAAAGCTGGAATTTAAACCCAGGTCTTCATGATTCCAGAGCCTGTTGTAACCACTACCATGGAGTTTTACCAATTTGAAGTCCTCTCTAATTGGGTCTACTTTCAGTTTCCTTTAAAAATATCAATATAAGAAATTTATTGGAACAAATGAAATATGGTAACTGTATTACTGTAATAGAAACAATATATATGTATTATATTTAAATGTCACAGATTTTATAATATGACTATAAAGAAAACAAAGTAAAAATTTGGAATAGTTGTATCCTGAAAGTATGCCGTATATAATATATTCTAATTGTGAATAGAGCATGGAATAAAAAACCAAGAACCATTAGTTCTGTGTCTGTCTTCGTTAACTAACTTTTTTCCTAGTCTTGGCCAAGACACTTAAAAGATGCATGTAGAATTTTTATAGATATTAATTCCTTTAGAAAATAATATTGTGTTTTAAAAAAATGTGAAATTTTGCCCCCCCTGGCATCTCCCCCCCCCCCAAAAAAAAAAAACCCTTTCACCCTGATGTGGTAATGTTTCTAATTATGCCCTTCAAGTCTTGGTCCATAGACATACAAATTTATTTATGTTTTTGTGTCATTTTGTATGTGCACACCTGTTTAAAAGTAGAATTAAGAGCTTTTCTTTCAGATTCTTTCATAAGATGATTCTTATAAAGGGCTTCAAACGCTTTGGAATACATAGGGACTTTATCTTCAATATGTAGAATATATATTTGATTAATGTATTATTAAATTATGAGAAACATGTTGGAAAATCAGTTAACTAAAATATTAATACCATATCACTATATTATATGACACATTTGGTTAAGTCTTGATTTTTCAAGTGTTTCCTTTTTTAATTTCTAAATTGTACTTGATATTTTTATAATGAACTAAATAAACGTATTTAAAAGATTGAATTGAAAAGATGGTAGAAATTGAAGCTCCTAATTAGTTTTTGTTGTAACTTCTTAGCAACCCTTGTAATGACAAGAAAGAGAAAATAAGTGACTAAATATGAAGCGTGAGAATTTTATTTATTTTTAGCCATTAGACAATATAGTTGTGACGGCACACTTTTTTTCTGTGCCAGTCTTCTTAGTATTTTCTTTAAAAATCTTGGGTATGTGTGAGTTTGGTCACCATGTACAAATGTGCAACTTTAATTTTGCTTCCTAAGGATATTTGCTAATTTTTATAAAAAGAAATTAGATTTTTTTTTCTTTTTTGCTAACAAATACTTAAATTTTCCTTTTTTTGGTTTAAGCACAGAAGAAAACGTTCTTCGATGGTTACAAGGGTGAGGATGGAGGGTGAGGGTTATTTACTAACTAGATAGTAGACAAGCATTATTTTAGGTGAAGGGAAGGACAGCACACACTACAGGGGAAGTCAGCACAACTGGACTAAACCAAAGATAAGAAGTTTCCTGAATACAGCCAAACACTTTGGGGGGCAGAGTAGCAGGGGCAGAGGTCTGGGGACCATGCTTTCAGGGGACATCTAAGTCAGTTGGCTTAACAAAGTTTATTAAGAAAATGTTCTGCATCCCACTTTGGTGAGGGGCGTCTGGGGTCTTAAAAGCTAGCGAGCAGCCATCTAAGATGCTTCAATTGGTCCCATCCACCTGGAGTAAAGGAGAATGAAGAACACCAAAGATACAAGGAAAGCATTAGCCCAAGAGACAGAAAGGGCCACATAAACCAGAGACTTCATCAGCCTGAGACCAGAAGAACTAGATGGTGCCCAACTACCACCAATGACCACCCTGACAGGGAACACAACAGAGAGTCCCTGTTGGAGCAGGAGAAAAGTAGGGTGCAGAACTCAAATTCTAGTAAAAAGACCAGACTTAATGGTTCGACTGAGACTGGAGGAACCCCAGAAAGCATGGCCTCCGGACTCTCTGTCAACACAGAACTAAAACAATTCCCAAGGCCAGTTCTTCAGACAGAGATTAGACTGGACTATGGGACATAAAATGATATTTATGAAGAGTGTGCTGCTTAGCTGAAGTAGATACATGAGATTAAATGGGCATCTCCTGTCCAGACGTGAGATGAGAAGGCAGAGAGGGTCAGGAGCTGGTTGAATGGACATGGGAAATCAGGGGTGGAAGGGAACAATGTGCTCTCATCGTATAGGGAGAGCAATTAGGTCACATAACAATGTATGCATAAATTTTTTTATTAGAGACTAACTTGAATTGTAAGCTTTCACTTAAAGTACAATAAAATTTTCTAAAAAAATTTTTTTTCCTTTTTTCCAGGAATGGGATATGGAGATAGAACAAGCACATTTTGTGGCACTCCTGAATTTCTTGCTCCAGAAGTATTAACAGAAACATCCTACACAAGAGCTGTAGATTGGTGGGGCCTTGGTGTACTCATATATGAAATGCTGGTTGGTGAGGTAAGCAGTGTAAAATAGGTAAGACAGAAGAGAAGAAGGACAATTGAGAGAACAAAGCATGTCAGTTATAAAGCTATGTAATATGTTTCCAGCATAAATGGAACTTGAGTTTTATAAATATTAATAGTTTACTAGTAATTGGCTATGCTTCTAATCTTCACTTTTTTTTAGATTTTTATATAACCTGTGAAATGCATTCCAGTGCCTTGAAAATAGTTCCTTAATTTCAGTATTGCTGTGGATATGTTTTAAGATTTTAAGACATAATCATATATGACTGATCACTTCATAGGGACTAGAATAGCAATGAGACTAATGAAAAGAATGTAGTCTGTATCTATAATGAAAAGTCAGTTATACATTGATCTAAAATAAATAGTATCTCCAAAAACGGTAGAATAGAGTTGAAAGTATTAGCTTTTTTTCCTCCTATTTTCTGTAGATTAACTTAAATAAATTTCTAGGAATAATTTACTTATACACAGAAATTGTTACTATTTAGGAAATAGTAAATTACATCAAATAAATAAAGCAGTAATAAGAGACTAATATATTGTGTTAGAAATCATTAGAAATGATAAATTAGTGTGGATTAGGGAAGCGGTAAATCTTTGACAAGTAATTGAAATCTATTAGAGGGCCTTGATGACCTAAAGATGCAAACAAAATTATCTTTTAGGATTGGCTCATTGTTCTGCAGTTTCCCAAGTGCCAACAACCTTCCTTGTACATTCAAGGCATGGATAAGTTAAGCGCTAAATGAGTGAATGACTAAATTATTGTCAGAAATTTCTAAAGTTTTTCTCTGTGCTTGTCATTTAGTGAGCAAAAAAACAAACACATTTTAGTTCATCCAAATGGATAGCCCGTTTGGGTATGTCAAATTGGAGTGAATACTTTGGAAAAAGCAGAGAAGTAGCTAATTAAAATGATATTTACCATATGCTGAACACTATTCTTTGTGCTTTACAAATATTAGCTTGTTTAATTTTATAGCAATACTAGTCTTATGCCCATTTTCATATGCATAAAAAGACACAGTCACATTGTTCTCAAGTGATGGAGCTGGGATTTTAACCCTGGCATTCTGGTTTCAGGACCTATTTGTAAACCATTATGCTTTGCAGCCTCCTGGCTAAGGTATTGAATCCACTCAGCCTTTTTTTGCCCAATAATCCAAAGCTGAAATTTAGAAAAACTCCTATAATGGTATTTTGGGATAGAAAGATTTATTTTAGATCTATTCCATAGTGGTCTTTACTTTCTAAGAGTGTCAGAGTCGTATTTGACAACTGAGTTTTCAACATAATTGAGTGTTTATCCCTTTGTGCATCAAATTGTGCAATGATTTTAATACTGTGCTTACTGAAACACCCCCAAGACCTATTGTAGTGTAAGAACATTACAACATACCTAGAACTGTGTGCTTTTAAGGAGTTTTTCAGCCTAATTTTGTTGGCAGCTGCTGCTTGGTGCAGTCATTGTGCCACCTAATCTCTAATTCTGTTTTGCCACTGTTAATTTGCTATTGACTTTGAAATCCAGAGCACATCCATATCTGATATATATCCACAGATTGTCTTTGTTGTATCATAATGCTTATTACAATATTTACCTTACCTGTTTTCTTTTGTCTTTCCACAAGATTGAGCTTTTTGAGGACTATGTCTATTATATGAATATTCCCCCACTGTCTAGTATGCGGAGCCCTGGTGGTGCAGTGGTTAAGAGCTCAGGCTGCTAACCAAAAGGTCAGCAGTTCAAATCCACCATCCGCTCCTTGTAAACCCTAAGTGGTGGTTCTGCTCTGTCTTATATGGTCACTATGAGTCAGAATCGACTCAACAGCACACAACAGCAGCAACATCTAGTATGCACTCTCAGTACTGACTAGCAGAATACAGGAATAAATGATTGAAATAAAATTGAATGGAATGGAATAAAATTAAATGAAATATAATACATGATGTGAGAGTATGACCAATTTTGTTAGAAGGGTCTATAAAATAAGTTTAAAGAGAATTTTAGTAAGAGTATGTGGCATAACTTCTGGATAATAGATAAATATCTATTGTGGCTTCTTGTAGTCTTTGTTGTTGTTGCTATTATTGTTTTGGTGGGATTTCTTTTTTGCTTTGTTTTCATTTTCACTGCCTGAATCTTGGTTGTAATTTGGATAGATGAGATCTTACTGTATTGAAAACTCATTTTAACTTACTCAAAGATATTTCTTCCAGTCTCCCTTTCCTGGTGATGATGAAGAGGAGGTTTTTGACAGTATTGTAAATGATGAAGTAAGGTATCCAAGGTTCTTATCTACAGAAGCCATTTCCATAATGAGAAGGGTAAGAATTAATAGTTTATAAACTAAAATTTTGTATATTGAAGAAAATTTCCAAGTAAAGCTTTAGAAGTTGTTTTTCAGTTCACACATGTTGCATTATTTAGGCAGACACATGCAAAAGACATCTAAGTCTTTAAAAGTTATGAGAATCCTTATCAACGAAGTTATTGGTTTTATTTTAACTTTTCTACTTTGCATTGTGTTAGCTATTAAGAAGAAATCCTGAGCGGCGTCTTGGAGCCAGCGAGAAAGATGCCGAGGATGTAAAAAAGCAACCATTTTTCCGGGTAAGGATGAAAGTTTAAAATTTTTTATGAAATTAAAGCAATTTAGGAGTAGGAAACTAAAGTGATCATTTTATATTTTTTGATCTAGCTAATTGATTGGAGTGCTCTGATGGACAAAAAAGTAAAGCCACCGTTTGTACCTACCATTAGAGGACGGGAAGATGTTAGCAATTTTGATGATGAATTTACCTCAGAAGCACCTATTCTGACTCCACCTCGAGAACCAAGGATACTTTCAGAAGAGGAGCAAGAAATGTTCAGAGATTTTGACTACATTGCTGATTGGTGTTAAGTTCCTAGACACTGTGAAACCAAGCAGACTGACTCATAAGAAGACTTCTTAAGAATAACAAGCCTTCATTTGCTCTCTATGCCACCAGTATCTCTGAACGCATGAAGATTTGTTTAAAAGACTATTCTAATACTTTCTTGAAAAGTGGCTTTTTAATGTATTTTCATCGTAAATCTGAGCACTGGAAACAGTTTCATGGAGTTTAAGCTGAGTGAACATCATCCATGAAAAGATCCATCACAAATGAATACTTTTCGATCAATAGTCTGTTTTTTGAAAAAGAAAGAAAAAACACTCTTCTACAGTACCTAGCTTTGCCATATGCCTGCCTTAAGTGGAAGGAAGATTAATAGTTAACTTCATTTAGCTGTTTTATAAAGAGGAAAATAGGGCTTGGAATGCGATTACTACTCACACTTAGAATGATTCTGTTTGAATAAGGCAAATAGATGCTCTTACACTTTTTAAAAAAAAAATTACTGTAATATCAAAGAATGTAGTTGCAGTTTGTGCACTTTTTCTGGGCTTGATTTTTTTAAAAACAGAATGAATTGATGCTTTGTTTTATAAATTTTCTATATTTATTAGGAGAAAATTTTTTATTGCCTTAACTTTACCAACCATGTAATAGAGCCTCAGAGCTTACCAACAGAGCTACTTGCCAAACAATTTTTTATTAAACAATGCTGAAACGAACAGGAACAGCTAAACATCAGCATTTACTTAAAATTTGAAGTATGAGAACTTCTGATCAGCCTGAACTAAGATACTGTATTACCTGTATGCATTCCCAAAGTCTAGACACTCATGTATGTTCAGTCATGCTTTCTTCCAAAATCAGAGAACTGATTATCTCTTTTTTGATATCCATTCTACATTTGTCAGCCTAGTTTATCTTGTTCTTGTGTCTGCTGTAGAAGGTAACTATATCTTTGTTAAACCATAGGGATTATCGTTGTATACATGCTGTGAACATGTATATGTGCAAGTTGTAATGTATTCTATGTTGTAGGCTTATTATTTAATTTCACCACTTCATCACTTTTGTACAGTGGCCAAGAAGACACCTCAGACTCCAGCATTTATGTGAAGTGCATTTGGACATTTTAGGCCACTGGATCCAGATTTTATATTGGCAGTTACTAAGGGTAAAAGCAATATATTGTAACAGAATGTATAAATATTTTTGATAAAACAGTCTATATTTTATAAAAATTATTATAACACTAAAGCTGTACCTCAAAAGTCTCAAAAATAATCTGATCAAATACTTTTTACAGCTCTTCAGAGGGTCAGTTTGTGGCTTTTTAAAATATTCATCCGGGAAAGTCATTTTGCCAACCATGACTTTCTACTTGCCTGAAGTTTTTTTCTTCCCCCTAGCCCATGACTTCATTGTTTTTCCTTAGTTTAGTAATAACATCTTTGATCCTGTGCTTAGCATGTTAGGATCATCCATACCTCAGGAGTAGCAAGTTGTTAACTAACCATACTGAATTAACCATTTAATCACAGCAGGTTCTTCTCTTAAAAATTGTTCGGGTTTAAATCCTATGAAAAACATGAAAGCACACTGATTTATAGAGGGTTGAGCTAAAAACGTTTATAAATACTTCAGCCTTGCCAGGGTGTATTGGTAAGTTTTTATTGTTCTCTGAAGAACAATTAAAATTGTTCAGAGATAATTCATAGTACCTTCCAAATTGATTATTACACCAGATCCTGGGGGAAAAATCCTGCAGAAGGAGGTAGCAATTTGTTCTTTAAAGTTATTTCAAAATGCCAGTTAATGTCCTTGGCAAATGACAATAGAGGAGCTTAGCTTAATTGTCTGGTTTTAATTTAAACAGTGTTAACACAACATTTAAAAAAAAAAAAACACTACTTTTGAGGTACAGTCTGTTCATCTTTTCTGATTCTCATATATGCATAGAAAGCAGTGTCCAAAATAGGCTTTTAACATTAAAAACTGAGGTAGCATTTTGTAACTACACAGTGTAGAGAAATGTTTTTAATTGAAGTCAATCACTAAAAAAAATTAGAGGGCAGGGTATATTCACACAATTAAGCTGAAGAAAGCACTAATTTTTTTCTGTAGTTTTTAAAGTATATATATATATATATATATTAGATTTAAAATTTTAAACTATCAAGTGTAAATATATTTTGCTATTACTGTATGTGTAAGTGACTGCTCAAGCACTTTGTAAGGAAATTAGGATATTTTAGAATGGTACACTATGCATTCAAATGAAATGTGCCTTTAACTATGTCATTCTAAAAAAAAAAGTGTTTTGCAGTCATAAATTACCACAAATGCACAAATTAAAGTTTAAATAGATTGTACTTTGTAACTTTGGTTTTAAGTATTATTTCCTTGTAGGGACTTCCTATTGGTCAAAATACGCATCACCTTTACTGTGTTCGAGATCTCAAAGACTAAGTAATGTCAGTTACCCTTCTTTCAAATACTTTTTGTCCTGGGAAAGGGCCATGAAGATTCCGAGCAAATTGTCCACTTCACTAGAGATAATAGAGACAGTTTATATTCTAGTCTTGTAATAGTTATTAGCATCTTTCATTCAGTAGATATTTATGGAATGCCTACTCTGTGCTAAGCATTAAGGAAAGAGGTTTAAAGAAAAGGTAACAAAGTCTTCGTAAGTGAAGAACAGCATGTATTAATGCTATCTAAAGTACAAACACTAGTATTGTATGTACATTTCTCTTGTTTGAGGTTAACTTACCTTGTTTTAGGACCTGCATTTCTAGCAAATAGGAAAATAAATAAAATAGAATACTGGTCATTTTATAATCATCTTAAAAAATTACAAGTGGAATATTTTGGAAATATAAAATGATCTATGCTATCCTTGTAACGATGAAGCCCTGGTAGCACAGTGGTTAAGTGCTCAGCTGCTAACAAAAAGGTCAGCGAACCCACCAGCCACTGCATGGGAGAAAGATGTGGCAGTCTGCTTCTGTAAATATTTCAGCCTTGGAACCCTATGAGGCAGTTCCACTCTGTCCTGTAGGGTCCTTATGAGTTGGAATCGACTCGACAGCAACAGGTCTTGCCCCTGAAACACAAATTGAGGACATAATGGAAATTGTCATTAAATCTGACTAGGTAAAAGCTGTCCTATAAATTCAAATCTAACAATATTTTGGCAGGCGCTACCTCTCTTCCCAAAGCAACTGAGGATAGTATGAGAAACTTGAAATAGCAAATCAGTGGATCATAATCTTAATTTAGAATTCTTACTTTATTCAGCCATCTTTTGAGGTCTAGTGTTTCTCTCAGATATTGGCCTTATACATTAGTTTGAAGGATAAAGACAGCAAAACTTACCATTAAAAAGTAAATAATAAATTATACATACATATATATAAAATTAGAGGTAAGTATTTCAGTGGCTTCTAAATTTTGTACCAGACTGTTATTTTCTGCTTTTAGTATCATGATTAACTAGAAATTGATTTTCAAGACCATTAAGACACATAATTGAGATACTGCTGGACACATTAAAGGTAAGAGAGGTCGCCAGGAATTCCTGTCCCCCAAAACAAACCTGAACACAAGCCTGAATGAACTAGGGCTTCAGCAGCCAAGAGTTAGGGCAGAAGTGCCTAAGCAAATGGATCAGGATACTCAGAAGTTGGGGCTGGGAGCTGAGTCTGCAAGAATACGAGAGCTTAGGCCAGGGCAGCAGGAAATTGGACAGAGTAAGAGCCAGAATGACTGGGAGCTGGTTTTGGACATGCAGGCAGCGAGAGGAAGTGAGTTTGCTCAGAGCATGGATTCCTATAGCAATACCATTGTGTAGGTAGCAAACCTTGGAGTAGCAGTAGGACTTAAATTCTGTGCTAAAACCTTCTAGAGCTTAAGTCCTAGTGGGCATGACTTCCTCTTGCTGCCTGTAGAAGCAGATGCTGTCTGGAGGAAATCTCTAGGACAGAACCATAGGACTTACACAGATAAAGATCAAGTAATATGTTGTCAAAAATCACCAAACACATGGAAGACAGCAAGTTACCGGAAATGAGATCCAAAAGAGATAATAAACATAGATATCCTCTCCCAAAGATTGCAAATATTAGAACTCTCAGATACAAAATATAGAATAGCTATGTATAAAATGTTTAACTAAAGTTACCACAACAAACATACAAAATGAAATTTTAAAGAATTTAGCAAACATTTTAAAAATCCAAAAATGGAAAATTGTTCAATTCAGAAACTCAGTGGCAGGGTTAAACAGCAGATTAGACAGAATTGGAGAGCTAAAATTCATAAGAAAGAAAGAAGGAGATGGAAAATATGAAAGGTAGATTAAAAGATGGAAGATAGAATGTAGACCCAAGAAGAATGAATGAAAAGAATGGAGGAGAGGCGATATTAAAGGAAATAATGGCTAAAAATTTTCTGGAGATGATGAAAAATATTCAAGTATAATATTCTCCAAACAAATACAAAGTTATATATAGAACCATTGTAGTGAAACTGCAGAATCCCAAAGACAACATCTTGAACCCATGTAGAGATAAAGGGCTAATTGTCTGCAAAAGAAAAACAGACTAATCTCTGACTTCTCAATAGCAACAATGGAAGCCATAGTGGGATATTCAGAGCATTGAAAAACTGTCAGCCTAGAATTCTATAGAAAGAAAAATAGAAAAAATTTTTAAAGGTGTGTTTCTAAAGCAAATTCTAAAGAATGCCCCAAGAAGAAGAAAAATGATCCCAGAAGGATGATCTGAGATACAAAAGAGGACTGTGGACAAATAAAATGGTAAACAGTTAACTCTAAATAAACCAGATAGGTGGGCTGTCAGACATACAAGGAAGTAAGGAAAAGGTGGTTTTTGTTTTTGTTTTTTTAAGTCAGCAGACATTCTGAATGGCAATAGTCAGGAAATCAGGATAGGGAAGATCAGAGCTAAAGTATTCTATATCCTTTTATCAGTGTCAAAGTATTTAGTTAAATATGAATGGTGAAATATCAAAAATATTCACCAAAAGAATAGTGTGTAAATTCAAAACCAAATGTAAATCCAAATATGTCAGTAATCATCATAAATGTAAACGGAGCAAACTCACTAGTTAAAAGCAGGGTTTGTCATGTTTAAAAAAGAAAATTCTGACTAGACTCATAGACCAGTTCGTGATTTTGAAAAGAATGTTTCCAATATTTCCTCATGGGATAAGGTTTTAGTGTTTTTTTGTTTTGCTTTTGGTAGATAAAAATAAAAGATTGAATTTACCAATAAGATATAAACATTATGTACTTAATAAAATATCCTCTAAAAACAAAAAGCAAAGAGCTACTGAAAAAAGCTAACACCCATCACACTGGGAGGCTTGAACTCATCTCCATTTTCGATAGCTTAACCAACTTTTTAAAATCAGCAAAAGTAGAAACTATTGGAATAAAACAACAATTTTTATCTAATGGACATACATTAGAATTCTGCATCCCACAATTAAGAGGCTCCACATTCTTTTCAAGTGCAACTGTGGCATTTATAAAAACGAACCTTAAATCTCAGAAAATTACATAGTGATACAGATTACATTTTCTAACTGGTTAGAATGAAAAGATTTTAAATCTAAATATATTTGAAATTTTAAAAATACCCTCTAATGGATCAAAAGAAGAAATTTTAATAAAAATTACTTAATAATACATATGAAAATGAGGGATGCCACAAAATAATTGTGCTCTGGGAACTTTATAAACTAGGTACTTAACAAGAAAAAGAAAGGCTGAAGGTTAAAATTGATTAAATTGTTCAGCTTAAGAAGTTAGAAAAATAACTACAAAGGAAACAAAGACAATAGAAACAAAAGCAAAAAATTGGCTCCTTGAAAATGCTAACAAAATTGACAAACCTGAAAAAGATGAGAGAAAACATAAATGCTATTATAAATGAATATAGATAACAGCCAAGATTTTTAAAAATAAAATACTGTCAACAACATTATGCAAATAAATATGAAAACTTAAAATGGTGGAGACATTCTTTGAAAAATATAATGTGTGAATGCTAACCTATGAAGAAGCCAAAAGACTAAATAGTCTCATTAACTATTAAATAAAAGCAAAACTTTAAAATCCTCCCGAAACATTGGGCCCAGATTGTTTTATGACTTCTTCCAGACTTTGAAGGAAGAGATCATTTCAACCTCATAGAAAGCTTATGAGAGAATGGGAAAATGTTATTTCCCAACTCGTTCTATGAAGTCAGTATAATCTAGATACAAAATAGACAAGGACAGTACGTTACTAGCAAATTTCATTCATGAATATTGGTGCAAAATTTCTGAACAAAGTAGTAAATCAGATTCCACAATGTATTATTTGGATGCTAGTCCATGAGCAAATTGGGTTTATCCAGGGAACGCAAGGGTGACAATAAAAATCTGTAACTATCATTCACCATATTAACAGATTAATGGAGAAAAAACAGGTAGGTTAAGAAAAAGTCTTAGTTTTACTCAAGATGTTGGACATAAGATAAAGACAAATCAGTTGCATTTCTGTGCACCATCAACAATAACTGGAATAATTTTTCAATTTTTTTTTGTGCTTCAGGTGAACGTTTACAGAACAAATAATTTCGCAATAAACTGTCAGTACACATATTGTTTTATGACATTGGTTAACAACCCCATGACATGTCCACCCTCTCCCTTCTCGACCTTTTGTTTTTTTTGGTGAAAATATACATAGCCAAAGATACACTATTCTGAAAATTTCTACGTGCGCAGTTCAGTGACAGCGATTACGTTCTTCCAGTTGTGCTGCTGTTCTCACTTTAGATGAACGTTTACAGAACAGAATAGTTTCTCATTAAACAGTACACATGTTGCCCTAT